GTGGAAATTAAACAGACATGCTCCTTGAGAAGGCTGGGATTTCCCAAGCTGGTAGCTTTATTTGGGTTCATCTCAGTCTCAAGGTTGGATCTCCCCAGTGATGGTGGTGACAGTTATTATGGTATGACGACAATGTCAACAATATTAGCACTACCCTTGATGGAATCTTTATTGTGTTTCTGGCTCTGCATTGAGTGCTTCCTGCATTATCTCATGTAACCCTCATACACTGGTAAACTAAGTGCTATTTGCCTTCACTTTACAGATGAGGACAGAGAGGACAGCTTGGTGAAGATTACATAGCCAGTTGCAAAGCCCAGATTCTGTCCTGTGCTAGAACTCCTAGGCCTGTGTTCTCCATGATCATACTTGGTAGGCTCCCAAATAATGCATTCCTTCCTTTTAGCTTTTTTATTTAGTTTTTCACTCAGGACTCTTCAATGTCCCCACTTCTCCACGTTATCTTTTCCCAAATCCCCTTTATTTCTGTTTCTGATATAGCCTCTCTATCTTATAGCTCAAAAATCCAAATCCTGATGGTACATTGAGATCTTTGGGAAGACATTCTTTCCTGTTTGTTACAAAGCAGCAAGGTGAGAGAGGTAGAGGAAGGGACAAGTGTGCTTCAGGCCAATAGCCTAATTCCAGGAACTTGTATAGATTTCAATATTTAATTAATTTCAAGGGATTACGCTGCTAATATTCCCTAATTAGGTCAACTGGCCTCCCCCATTGTTCTTTGGTCTTTCATCAAAAATCATTTGCATGAGGAGCTGTGCAAGGTGTTTTACCAATGAAGTTAGACAAAGGCTTTAGAACGTTGCATAAATCGGATTCTGTGTATTTGTAAATTATGCTGACAGGCAATCCTGTAACACAATGAAGTCAAAACAGTCTCAGCAAAAATGGCCATTTCGTGCTGTACATAGGCCATAAAAGGGAAAAGATTATAAAGGTACCATGTTATGTGTGAAAATTGTTAAATTCAATCTAAGACAATGTTTTTTTTCAGATTATCTTGAAGGGACTAAATGAAATAAATTCTTAAAATGTACAATAATAGAATATTAATTAAATTAAAGAGATGCTTATGAAGAACCTACTGTATGAAAATATACTGTTACATACTGTAAATTATAAAAGAATTAAGATACAGTTCATAATTTTAGAGAGTTTGCTATTTAAAATAAAAGAGAGACCAAGATATGCATGTAATTAATTAAATGGAACAAAATATAATATAAATGGCATGTATCAAAGACAAAATGTAGCCTGAAAGAACATAGCTTAATTGAATTGATCTACTAAAATGTAATTAATTCATCCAATTGCAATTAATTGAGTGACTACTATGTGCCAGGACATGAGATCTCTGCAAACTAAATTCTTTTACCATGTATATATAGCACACTGTTTTGCCCAAATTTTTGAGGGAGAAATAAGGATGCACATTATACATGGGTAGTACTAATTTCCTATCTATAGAAATGTTTTTAATTCTTTTATTTATGCTTATGCATTAAAATGTAACTCTAGAAAGCAATAATGATATCCATATGCAAAATAACACTCTGGCATATGATAATTGGTTTTGTTTCTAAATACAAATAAATAAAAAATTGAATTAAAATGAAAGATTTTTTTTCCTGAAAGTTTGGGCTAAAAACATGGGTATGCATTGTACAGGGCAAAATACAGTAATTTTCAAGTACTGGGCAGAGAATTAAAATAGCTTTGCTTTGGAGTTAGAAAAACCTGAATCAAAATTGGCCTTATCAATTACTCATTGTGTGACCTGGGCAAATAATTTATAATATCTTAGCTTCACTGCAGAAATCAGAAGGTCATCTTTGATTCCATCTTTCAGCTTCATCTTACATATAATCAACAAATTAGTCTTCAAATATTTCTTGAACACATCGTGTCCTTTCCATCATTGTGTCCTTTGGACATATCCTCAGTCCAAAGGCCGGCGGCCCTCATAATTTGTTTGTGGATTCTGCAACCCAAGTTGGTTTTGCTATCTTCATATAATTCTTCTTTAATTTTTCATGCATGTAACTTTCTAAGAGTTACAACAATCTTTCTAAAACTTTTACCTGACTATGCATAACACTCCTCTGCTCAGAAGTCTTTAGCCACTTCGCATTGCCCGGAATATGCAAGTCTGTACTTCTTAAGGCCTTTCAGACTTCTAGTGAACTGAGCTCTGCTTACATGTTTAACTTCCCATGCCAGTCTTCCTCCATACATACCCTATGTTTCCCGAACCACCAGACTGTTCTCGTGTCTCCATGCCTTTGCACATGGTTATTTTTTTAATGCCAAAACCTGAAAGTTATCCCTATCCTCATTCCACCAATTCTATCTGAAAGACTTGAAAATTTTTTGCCCTTTGTTTAACATGTTGCTTAAATACCATCTCCTTTATAGACTTTTCTTAGTGATCCTGACACAGGTAGTTTTCCATTATCATAAGTGCACAGCATGTTTTATATACCTCCTGTATTAGCACTATGCACGCTTATGTCATTCTTTGTGTCTGTGCCAATTGCCTCAACAAGACTGAGCCTGAGAACAAAAACAAGGCCTTTCATCTTTGAGTCCTCAGTCCTAGTGTAATGTCTGCCATGGGGAGGCTGTGCAATAAGTGTGTATGGTAGTAATGAAGTCAGGTTTGGGGATAAGTGGAAAGAACCAGGAAATGCTTTGTGGAGGAATTGGTATTTGAGGTAGGCCTTGGAAAAATTCTGAAATATTTTGTGAATTTAAAAAATGTAATTTTGGTATATTTAGTATATTAATATGTTTAAATCCTCACCTGATGATATATTTATTGATTTTAGAAAAGGAGGAAAGGAAAGTGGGAGAAAGAGGAAGAGCTATGTGAGAAACATTGATTGGCTGTCTCCTGTGTGCACCTAGACCAGGAATTGAATCCAGAATTTAGGTATGTGCCTGGATGGGAATCAAACCCACAACCTTTCGGTGCACGGGCTGATGCTCCAACCAGCTGAGCAACCCAGCCAGGGCTATTCAGTATATTAATATACACAAATGTTTATATCTTCATGATTCTCCTTTTAATACAGAAGTATCTTGCCAGTGAAGCTTTGTCTTTTCTATTCAGGGCCCTAGGGGCAGTGCCTTGAGCATGGTAAAGACTAAAGAAGTTTGTTAATTACCTGACTTAAAAAAGCATCTTACTAATGTGTCCTAGAGGATGCCAGCCCTTGATTTCAGAGAGGTACCACTCTGATTCTGCAATACTATGTGATACCAGAAATACTTGACTTTTCACCTGGGTCATAGATGGCTCTACCCCGTACCTTGTAGCAAAGAAAGGTATTTATATTCACTCTATATATGTAATTTGTCCTAAACATGTTTAAAAAATATAAGTAAGTACATCTTTGATCCACAGTGGAAAACCTGTAATAGTCTGGGCACCTCACTGCTATGTGATTGAACTCTCCCTGGGCAGATCATTGAGTCTGATTGTCAAAGTAATAACTTGGGCATCTTCCCACTCTAAATCACATCTATATCAATGAGAGTTAAGCTCTTAGGTATCCTGGCAGATTTCTTATCTGAATTATTTAAATGGAATTAACATTACTTTCTTAGATATTACATTCTTATCTGAACTATTGAATGTTTCCCTCTGAGTATATCATTTAAAACAAGGGTCCCCAAACCTGTCAGTGTCCTGTTAGGAACCAGGCCCTACAGCAGCAGTGAGTGGTAGCCAGGGAGGGAAGCTTCCTGGCATTACCACCTGAGCTCCCCTCCTGTCCTACACCCCACCCCCGCCCCCACCCCACGTCCCACGCTGTCCCTGATGCCTGGTGCCACAAATGTTGGGGACCACTGATTAAAAAAACACTGACACTAATAAAAAAAATAATAAATTACAGAAATTCAGAACACAGTGAAGAAAAAGAAATCTGTGCAGTTACAGTCTGCTTCAAGGACAGTCATTCCCTTTATGCTAAACCTTCATATTTACCAATATAAGCTTTTTAATTTTGGTAGCATGTCATGGTTAGGAGCCAGGGACATGGTCATTGGGAACCTCAATGGTTTTTCCACAAGAAAGAGAGCTCTGTGAAGAAACCTCTGTGTTTGTAGATCTTCAACTTGAAAATCCCTCCACGATAAGAAGGGCATTAGCTAAATTTGAGGAGTTCATGGAATATCTAGAAGGATCATTGTTAAGTAGAACAGGGTAGCATCTGAGATGTAGATATGTAATTATAGATAGACATAATTACATGTAGATTAGGAAGGCAGACTTGGAAGGGGGGCTGGCTTGCTTTTATCTCTTCTTCAGTCAAAAGCTGGAGTTGCTCCCAACCTTTGGGAGTTTTCTGCTGGGTTCTCAGCCTGCAGAAGGCTTGCTCCAAGCCAAGACAGATTTTCCAAGGGAAGACAACTTCATTTTCATGGTAAACCCTCAGACCCATGCACCTTCTCCCAACTCTGCCCTTCTCGGACCCTGAACCACTGTAGGCAGAGCAGGAGGTGGCAAGGAGTGGTTCCAGTGGGGCGGTGGAGACCACCCCCTTGAGAACTGTATTTGCAGCTGTCGAAGAGTAGCCAACAAGCACCAGATTTATAAGCACTTTGAAAGAAGCCCCTTAACCATTGGCTTTTTGAGCGGAGCTGTCGCTAGGGAGCAGCGGGCAGGGAGAGCTCAAGCTGGGGATAAGCCCAGGTTGTTTGTTGTTGTAACCTGGGAGAGGGACACATGCACTTACACTCGTACACACGCTCCAGCGAGTTGAATTGGAGCCCCGAGGCCCCTATCCTCAGAGGGCGCCCCCAGGTGTCGCTCTGGGCGGAGCAGCAGCTCCCGGCTAGCCTCCCTAGCCCGGATCCCTGCTGCTGCCGCCCAGAGGAGCAAGGCACTGAGGTTCTAATGTCCCAGCGCCAGCTCCAGAGCCCTCGCTGCGGGCAGGGAGAGCAGTGGGGGCGGGTGCAGCAGGAGAGCGCGATGAATGAGTTCCCCCCACGTCTCCGAGTTGTCTGAGTTGGCGGTGCCGTTGCTGTGCGGGGTTTCCGGCTCTCAAAGCTCCACGCTTGCTGCTCCGGTGGCTGCAGCCCACGCCCACGGCCCTGGCCGAGCCCCTCCAGGCTTGGGGAGCCCAGGCTCGATAGCTCCTGTCCCCGCCCCAGTCCAGGGAGAAGGTGGGTGGGCCCCCAGCAGAGGCGCGTTCTGCCGGCACTCAGCTCCCTGCTGTTTCTCCATGGCGTCGTATCAGCAGTCCCGGATCCAGGCTTACCTGGAGAAGAACAAGATCGGTCCCCTGTTTGAGGTAAGGCGCTGTGGAGGAAGGGATGCCCAGAGGAAAGCAGAACATGCTGGAGGCATAGAGAACAGTGGGGCAGGAGGGGTGCCCCTGTGCCTCCAGGTCGCTGCTATCGCTCTTTTCGCTCTTTTGGGGCCAGGTGTCCTGGAACACAGCCTGTCCAGCACTTCCCTGGTTACCTGGGCGTAGACAGGTGCGCTCGGCAGGGTCCAGTCTTAGCCTGGCAGTGGAAGTTTGAGCTGTCCGACTGTCCAGCAGCACCTAGAAGCCTCACGCCCAAGACCCTGACAGACTGAGAGGGATAGCGCGCGCGCAAACACACACACACACACACACACACACACACACACACACACACACACACTCTTACCGGAATTCACACTGTCTTGCATATTGGATTTTTTAAAAATGTGGGCAGTAGTAGAACCCGAAAAGGTGGAGGAGGTGCTTAGCAGTGGAAAGCAACATGGTTAACAGGGAGAAAGTGGAACTGGTAAGGAGTGGGCTTCGGTAGGTGCGGGCGTGTTGAATGAAATTGTCAAACTGAGACCCTGACGTCGGTGTCTGGATGAGAGGAGAGTCCTTTGCATTGCAGACCCTACCTGGATGACAGGGAGAAAGGTTCGGAGAAAGGTTCAGTAAAAGCATACGCGTATTTATGGGAAGGAGATGTAGCTCTCCTGTGTTCTCTTGCCAAAAAGAATTGATGACAAAAATACAGCAGGAGAAAGGAAGAGGAGGAGGACTCGAGAAAATGAGAATGGGAAACAGAAAACTGGCAGGGGTCAGACGTCCCACTGGTTGTCGGAATGCTGGGCAGATGCTGAGGCCAGAGGGGAGGGACACCCCTGGTCTCTCCTCCAGGTCCAGCCACCCAAATGGGCCCCCTTGGGTGGGGCGAGGGGACTTAAGAGGGTCTAGATACCATCCCTAGCCTTCCTCCCAAAAAAACAATTGTGGCCACTCTTGGGGGTTACATGTTCCTGGCCTCAGAGTGCGGCTAATGCTCAGCAGGGGAAAGAAATACTGAGAATGGAGAAGCTTCTCTAGGATCCAAGAGAGTGAGAACTACAGAGAAAACAGTTATGCGAACTAATGCCCCAATAAAATAGGGAGAGAGTGACAAGGGCATGAGATCAGATACATCTTTTACCTGGGGAGGACGGCTTTGAAATATCCAAGACTGCATGATATCTTAAGTTTTCCCGCTCAACTTAAACTTACTGTCTTGAACGACAGGACCATAGTTTCTACAGAAACTCGCTGTTGTTTCGAGTCCTAACATCCTGCAGTATATGTCTTGATTCTTGTTTCTGCTGAACGTGTTAACAAAGGAAGTCCATATCCAAAACCAATGCAGAATTGCTGGAGCTACTAGAGTTCTTTTCTTCACCGTTGGTGAAATATTTGGAAAATATAGGTAATGCTATATGTATATTTTTTAGAAGTAGAAACCTAATAACCTTTTGTGGCACAGTGTATTAATTGCACCAAAAGAAACATAAAATAAATATTTACATTTGGAGTGCTTCTACTCTCTTAGAATATAAAGTACAATTTACCAGGTAGCATAAGTGAAATGTTTTTAATAGATGCTGTTTTCATTTAACATTTTAAGATTCTGAAGAGTCTCTTCAAGTGATAGTAGAGTTTGGAATGCATGCAAACTTTCTTCATAATTAGGAAATAAATCTATTTATGTTTATATAAATATATAAATCTTTATATTTACCAAGTCCTCATTTCAAGAAAATGCTCACCAGCTAGTTCTGCACTGATGAATTTTAAGTGATGTCAACATTTTCCTATAAAATTGTTATACCTCCTCACTAGAAAACAAACAATGACAAAATTATATGCTTTATATTTTATCAGTTTCTTTGGTGACATATTACACACATCCCCATATGCAGTGATGAGTAGTTAATTTTTAAGGTGTGCACTTTAAATAATTGAAGGGAGAAAATATATAAGTTCTCTTTTAACAAAAGCAGGTCCTTATACAATAATTTTGATCTTTGTATAGAGCCTTGGTTTTGAGACTAGAATTATGCATACTTCACACAATTGGAAAATCTCACTGTGGCTGCCTGTCCCTTCCCATGCTGGAAAACAGTGAACCTAGTGTGAAAAGGATATCATTGCTCTAACGTTCTCCTCAAAGCCCCCAGCACTTTGGTCACTGGCTCATGTAAGAACTGCTCAGGACAACAATAACAAACAAACAAAAAAATAAACAAAAAACTTACTCAGGAAATCAGAGGAGAAGCCAGGGATCCAAAGAAGAGGCACAAATGACTATTACATATTTAATTCCTGGATCACATTATAGAAACAGTGCCATCAGCCAAAAATTGCTGATGTGCTCTCTTTGTCAATCACACATTAAAATGGGTAGGTGTCTCCAAGTTTTATTAACTGTTGTGATTCTTTTTGTGTGTGTGCTGAGGTACTGGAGTTGGTGACATCGATTTTCTTTAGTTTTGAAAATCTACAAGACCTGACATTGTCCCCTTTACAGATTTTTAAAATTAAGAATGTTTAAAAACCTATTGGAGTGAGGTACTTTAAAGAGAGCACATGAATGTTACTTGAAAACACAGCAAAGGTAACATACTATTCTTGAGAATTCTTGTATCCTGTTTTTTCACATGTATATCTTATTTACTTAGTTGTTATTTAGTTTATTTTTTACTTAGTTTTTCTTCTTTTAACAATGATTGTTTTGACTTTTAAAAAAGATTTTATTCATTTATTTTTAGAGAAAAGGGAAGGGAGGGAGAAAGAGAAGGAGAGAAACATCAATATGTGGTTGCCTGTGGTTGTGCATGTGCGCTGGCATGTGCCCTGACTGGGGATTGAACTGGTGAACCTTTGATTCTAAGGCCAGCACTCAGTCCACTGAGCCATCCAGTCAGGGTCTTATTTTATTTGTTTCTAACATTTTATAATTTAAGAAGCTTATAAAGTGCTGTACACACTATGGTGTTTCAAAACTACTTAAAATGAATCTCATTTCCAGGTGATTTAATAGTATAAATTTATACTACCTTTAAATGTGATTTAACTTGTTTTGAGGCACTGTGAAATCATGCCTAGAAATCCCTGCATTGGAGTCTTGGGTAATGACATTTTAATCAGGTAATAAGATGATGTAAGGTAGAAATGGTAGTGGCGACTTACTTCCACAACTCTTTGATATGTTTATATATATTTTTTATATTTTTGATAAAGATGTAACACTTTCAGCCATGGCTGGCATAGCTCAGTGGATTGAGCGCTGGCTGGGAACCAAAGTGTCCCAGGTTCGATTCCCAGCCAGGGTACATGCCTGGGTTGCAGGCCATAACCCCCAGCAACCGCACATTGATGTTTCTCTCTCTCTCTCTCTAGCTCCCTCCCTTTCCTCTCTAAAAATAAGTAAATAAAATCTTAAAAAAAAAGAAAATTCTTATAATAGAACATTAAGAAAAAAATTATAAAAAAAAAAGATGTAACACTTTCAGTATTCTGTTGGCTTATTCAGGGCTGACAAGTAGGCCAACCTGGGCATCAATCTGTAAGATATGCTTGACACTGCTTCAATAAATTAGAACTATAAGCCCATTTCCTACAGATTTTCACACATAGCTCCTTGACCAAGACATGGCTTGGCTCCCACTGAAGAAGAGTATTTTTGCAACATAGATAGGCAAAATGTATGGTGTAAACACAAGATATCTCAAACCCTAAGGCTAGCCATGAAACAGCCAAAGAATTTGGCAGTCAGAAATTCTGAAACTGAATAATTAACTGGCATGTAGCTTTTTATTAATATCAAATGATTTATTTGTCTGTATTGTAAGCAGTTTAACTTAGTTCCCAAGAGATTATTTGTTGTGGAACATCACAATAAGTTTATTTTCAACATACAGAAGTATACAATTTCATGTTTCCCATTCCCATTAAAGAAATAGAGTAATTATTTGAAAATTATTGGTAGTAAGGGTGTTCAGGGCAGTCATATACCTTGGTTGGGGTCCAGATGTACTCACAAAAAGGTAAAATCCTAAACCATTAAAAAGCTGAGTAATAGGGTCTTCATAAAATCTCCATAGGATTTTTAAATCTATGGGGACTGAGTATGTGGCCAACCAAATTCACTACATTTCTCCAGATGTGGTCTGATCCACTGCAAGTAGAATGGAACCACTTTATCACCTTCTTTGTTTAGCTCAAAGGACCTCCCCCCATGTGGTCTGAATTGGTGCTCACTAATTTGCTGTAAGTCATGAGGTAGACTTGTGTCAAGGGTTTGGTTGCTCGTAGCCTGCATCACTTGGTACCTGGCCCCACACTTTTCAGCCACATCTATAATCCTGAAATCCACTGGCCTGGAGAGTATCAGGTAGTCACCTGGCAGGGTCAGGAGATTTGTTACACATGAGTAGAGGAGTGTTGAGAAAATAAATAAATATACTAAAAAAAATGCAAGCCAACCCTCTCACTGATGGAGATGGGAATCACAAATATAAAAAGGATAAAAGGCCGAATGAACCTTGAGGTGATGGAATGAAATTGGAGGTATTAATGTGATCTTATGACTTTCAATAATAGGAATAGATATAGATATAACAGAAGTAAGTATATATTTGTGTGTATTAACATATGTATAAATGTATACATTTTTCCTTATTCTGCCCTACTGTGAGGGCCTGGGAATAGCAGCACCCCTGTAGCAGGGAATATTCTTAGTGACTGTATTTTGGGTTGTAAATGCCATTCTCTGTTAAGTGGAAGCAGGTACCCTTGGAGAAATTGTTGATTTCAGCCTTGCAGCTGGGAAAGTACAAGATGAACCTGGAAAATCTTATTATGCCAGAAAGTAAGAAAGTGGCCAGAGAAAAATAAGTACATGTCAAAAGAACATAGAAGCCAGCTTGAAGAAGCTCTTATTAACTAAATCTGAGACAATTTAAGAATAAAAATTAAAAATGATAATAACAGATTATCTTAACTGTATAAAG